AACTGAAAACAACATTTTCAAAATTCTGCATGAAGGAAAAGGCATACACTGTATACACATAATCCTGTCATTTGTCTTCGGCAGCCTCAAAAAAATTTTTGCCTTGAAACAAATTTTCTTAGAAAAAACTTCTTTAGAAGTTAATGTTAAAATAGACATAAATGTGTGATGCTATGCAATATATAGAAAATTTCCCTACCTTATGGCCAAAAGACAAAGATAAAAACTTTACCTGTCCATCTGTATTACAACTTGAAAATCATGTAGTTATGAGGTAGTGTAGTTACTTGTATTACATGCTGGCTATTAAAAGTAATGCTAAATTTTAAGAAATATCACACTTGGCAATATTCAGATGACATTAAAATAATCCTTAATGCTAATTTTTTTTATAGGTAGAGAGAAATTTAAACCAAGTGCCTTAAAAATTATATTTGAACTCTGGAGACACCTAGGTTTTATTATAAAATAGTAAGCAACCTTTCAAAGCAAACATTTACACAGTGGCAATTAAAGCAAAAGATCACTGACATTTGCACATACACAAACTGATATAACAAACAGTTGAGTGTACACTGAGGTAGGAAATCAAGGATTCCATTGGCTTGTATAAGATTTTACATTTTGTAAACCAGAAAAGTTTTTGTATTATTTTATATTGTAAAGTTCAAATTTAAAATTACATGTCTCCAAGAAATAGCTACATGGGATGATATATACAGATACACCTACACACGCACAAATTCATTTGTAGCATGGGATGCATTATCATAGAATTACCATTCTCCCTGACAAATTTTTGAGTACTTATGAAATCCTCTAGAAAATAAACAAGCCCAGCTAGTTTTCTCTTAAAACTAAGTCAATAACAGAAATAACTCACATACCACTGAAAAATAAACTGGCAATATCCTCCCCCCACGCCCTGATCAAAAACGGTAACGTTTGACAAATTACTATGAAACATTAAGACTGGTCCCCACATACTCTCATGGCAAAGGTCTCAGACTTGTTCATACATAAGAGGTGGCTGTCTCCCACACGAGCTACACAGGCCCTTCATCAGACTCCAGATGCAGTCTATAAGAGTCTCTCGGTGTCTGACTGTAGTGAAATGAAGAACTTTCTATTTCAAACACTATAAACTACTCCTATGTACCCTTTAAAACTGGCTTCTGCAAATGTTTCTGTGAATGTGAATATATGTAAGTTTTTTTAATTGCTGAGAAGGTCCATAGCTTTCATGAGACTCTCAAACAAGTCTGTAATTCCAGAATGCCTAAGGACCACTGCAAAATGTTATGGAATAGGTCATGATATTATAAAAACATTTTATAACAGGATCAAATAAACACAAAGACTGATTTTTAAAATGCCTAAGTCAAAATGACTTGTGTGCCTTTATACCACACCAGATTTGGGGAAGAGAGCAAGGATTAAACCTGGTTTCCAAATGCAAACTCACAACAGAACAAGATCTAGTTTCACCCTCTTTCACAAACCTGCAGAGTTGCTGCAGATACATTTTTATCTACAATAATGCTTTTTACAAGTAAACCGTAGGACTTCAAAAGTAGGATGATAAATGAACTACACTCCTGGTAAACATAGGCAATTTTCTTCCCCCCAGTATCTGGTTGTCTGGCATTGGTGACCCATGGTGGAAAGTGAACAGCCTTGTATGTTGGTGAGCTCTCACTCATTCTAGGAAGCCTAAGATAATCCTGACAGAGCATTCACTCAGGCCACTTTATCTTGTGTCCTATTTCTTCTTCCAAAGGGACAAGAACGTCAAGAAACAGAAAGTTCATGATGGGCCCAGATGTCATAGAGACTGAAGAAGAAAAATACAAAAATGGAAAATGACACTTATTTACTGTTTATGTAGCCACAATTTCTACAGTCAATATTGAGGAAGGTCAGAAGACCTCACCTTAGGCCAACCACCTGTCCGTTTACTAAATCTTCCTAGTTTAGCTTAGGAGTCAAAATGAAGTCCAATCATTTTAGAAGGAGCAAAAGAGCAAAGCTCTAAGATTCAGGAAAGATGATTTATTTTTCACACTGCAGCTCTACACAAATATTCCAAGTAGCTGACACCCTACTTCTGCGTAGAATAAAACTATTAGCATTGCTTGGGGAGAAATTTTCTTTTAAACCAGTATATTACAACAAGGTCAGATTATTAAACTCCTGCAGGCCACTTATTTAGTAGGAACTATCTGCAGATATTTCAAGCTGTTAAACTACTGTTCGGTACGCTGCAGTTTTTACTCTCATATTTACTTTGAATACTGGAAAGAGTTATTACCAATAGTTATTAGTCTTTAAAACCTGAGTTTTAAAGTCTTACTACATTTTCGCATGTGATTTTTCAGTATCCAGGAGGCAAATCACTTCTGTGTCTCTTGTGGACTCAAGGAAAAATTAGGGTTGACTTAAGAGAAATTCCTTTAAGAGCAAACTAACAGGGAAAAAACAATATTGTTAAGCAACAGATGGCTGTATTAGGCTTTCAAGACTGCCAAAACTTCAGAAGAGAATTAGGTGGCTTGAAGAAGTGAATGCACGTTTACTCATCAGTAGTACACTTATCGGTCATCTGCTGACAGAAATCTGAGATCCCGCCACTCTGACGACACTGTTCCACAAGTCCACCTTGCTCAGAGGCGGCTGTGGGGGTCTGCTGTGATTCCTGCCCCCGCACATAGCTGCACTCACTGTTTCCTCTTGCACTGGGAGGCCCGTCAGATGAATTAAAAATTGATGATAATGCAAGCTCACCATCAGGAGTAGTTTTTCCTTTTTCAGCAATTAAAAAGGAAAGTGGGCAATCTGCGGCTGAGTACTTGGCAAGTATCTGTATTTGTTCTTGACTTAGAGCTGCTTCTTTACAGACTTGCTGGCAAAGTCCAGTTAGGTTCTGCTTTGTCTCACCCAGAGTTGACAAAATGTGATCTCTTTCCTTCAACAAGTTTTCCTTTTCATTTTGCTGTGAAAGAGAACACAATGACTTGTGTTAATTAGCTCAATCAACATTTCTAAGATGATCAAACATTCAATATCTACAATGTCTTCTCATTAAATAACATCACATGAAATTTTTCCTTTCAATTCAATTCAAATATATATTAAATACCGAAGATCCATAATCTCTCATCCAAAACTCTCAGGGCCACAAGTATCTTGGAATTCAGAATTTTTCAGATTTTATAAAGATAACATGGGTGCACACATAATTCCTCTAGCAGGTCTGAGGCAGCACCCCATTACCAAACATCTTTACATTTCTAAGTAAAACACTGAAACAGCAAATAATGCACAAAGTAGGATAAAGACTCTCTATAGTCTGATGTCAATTTGGGTCTGTTTGGGGCCAAAAAAGTTTGTGATAAATTCACACAATTTTCAGAGCTTTCTGAATATGCAGACTGCAGATAAGCAGGTAAGCTTGACATTTTGGATGGAATACAACAACAGAAAATATAAGTACAATGAACATAGCTTCACTACTGAGATTCAAATCATTATAAGATTAAACTAATGACTAACATTTGGTGAGCAGTTACATTATGCCAGATATTGTGCTAAATGTTTTCAAATATGCAATCTCAGCAATATAATCCACATAATGATTCTGTTGATTTAAGTAATATTAAACCCATTTTAAGGGTGGGGCTAAGAGTTTAACATGCCCAGAAACAGAAAAGTAGTAGGTGAGTTACTGAACTGTGAAGAATTTGGGGGATGACTTTGTGTTTGTTGTTATTTTTGTTATTATTATAATTTTAACCATAAAATCTTTTCAGAAGTTTTCCTGGTTCCTGCCTCTCTGTCCACATCACTTATTGCTAGTGACAGCAAGTTTTTTTCTATCATTGTCCTAACTCATCCTTCCTGTTCCACCATTTTATTGCTTCTAAAGTTAGGAAACCAAATAATTAAGCTGTTTATAACATAAGAGTAAATAAATGTTGACAGAAGGTCAAAGATTTCTCTTGTGAAATTTCTGACAATTCTGATGGCAAATCAGAAGTCTGTTCTGCTTGCTTTCTGCTCGGTAGCAGGTTCTGGAGAGTTGAGGATGCCAGTTAATATTTAGATGGGTTATTTCATAGTGCTAACTATAATTGTCATCCTTTAGATTCTTTTCTGGCACAAAAATAGCTAAAAGGGTAAAAAGAACTTTGCTTTATACAAAAGTACTGTTACAGTTTTATATAAAGGTATTACTACGAAATTATGTGTGAGTCCAAATACTGGTAGTTTTTAAATATTTTAAGGCCATCTAATATTTTGAGAAAATATGCAATGAACACAAAGTATTAAATTTTTATGCTGCAAAGTATTCTCCTCCAATTTGTTCAGATTTTTATACAACAGCTTTTTTTAAAAAAAGATATGTCAAGAATGAGAGAGAGAACGTGTATGTAACCAAGATCAATATTCAGCCAGTATATTTTCTCTTGTGCAAAGTCTGTCAGTTGCTGTCTTCCAATAAAATGAGTCTGCAGGTACCAAGAAGGCGAGAACAGTACCTGCACTACCACGTGTCCAGAGAAGGAACATGTTTAATGCAATCAGTACCCTTTCTTTTATGGCTTCTCAGAAGCCAATCCAAATGAGGATGGAAACAAAACTTCCAGAACAAAGTGAGAAATAATCTTTCTTTAGTCACAGCAATATTCAGCCATGGATTCCTCTATCAAAGTTGGGATGATTCTGCTCTAAATAGCAATAGACAAAATTTCAACTGCTGGTTGGTCTTTTAAATCAAATATGGTTAAGCAAAGTAATAGATATTTGAGCTTCCTCCCAGGAATTAGAACCACTACTTAATCTACAGATCCAATGAAGATTGTAAGTATTTTATAACTTCTGCATTTTTACAAGTATACAAACATCAATACCATCTTTAAATATTCTCACTCCTCTCACCCCATTAAATACAGGATGACATCGTTTTTTAAGTATATCCCATAAAAGATGGCTTGCTTCTTTACAACACCTAAAGCAACAGGTACAACCCTGGAACTCTATCATAATTATTTCTATAAACTAAATGCTCCTATCTGTTCCTCTGCGCTTTAAGCTAACTCCTACACAGCTACGTTTCCAGGCAGTCAGCTGATGTTTCCACTTCACTCTAATTTTAAAATACCAATTTACTGTGATAGTAGTCAGCTTAATAACTGAGAGTTAAGTAAATAAAAGTAATTCAATCCCTTCATGAGGCAGTCAGCTGATGTTTCCACTTCACTCTAATTTTAAAATACCAATTTACTATGATAGTAGTCAGCTTAATAACTGAGAGTTAAGTAAATAAAAGTAATTCAATCCCTTCATGACATCATTACTAAAGGCACTTCCCAAACATACTACCAGTGATCTGCTACCTATTTTTACAATACACAATGGTACTTCAAAAAGTTCATGGAAAGATCCAGATTACCTTTTAATTCTATTTTTCCACGAACTTTTTGAAGCATCCTCGTATTTTCATTTTCTTATAAAAGCAACTGTATAAACCATAAGTTTGAAGTACTGTGCCTTTAATCACAGATCTGTAAGAAAATGAACAAAATTGGCATCCTGGTGCCATTCTGCCATTTTCTTATAAAAGCAACTGTATAAACCATAAGTTTGAAGTATTGTGCCTTTAATCACAGATCTGTAAGAAAATGAACAAAATTGGCATCCTGGTGCCATTCTGCAATTTATGCCAACAAAACAACTTTACATCTTAATCCACATTTTGAACAGTTAATGTGCAATATTCATTGAAATATACAAAGTTTTTTTTAAAAAAATCCTAAAGATTACTCACCCAACAAGGCTAAGGAATAGAAGAATTTGGCACCAAAAAAAGCCGGATGACAGTGGCAATTTATTTTAGGGTAAAGAGTACTCACTGCTAAAAAAGAGTCACTTATAGTTCCTTACTACATAAAACCTGTGAACAGATAGTCCAAAGAAATCTATAAATGGCCCTTAAAAATATGAACAAAAATGCTCAATTTTACTTATAAGAAAGATAAAAATAAAAGCTACCATGAGATACCAATTCTCACTATCTGATTGGAAAAAACCAAAGCTGACAACAACTCTTTCTTGAGGCTGTGGGCAGACAGACACACATACGTTGCTGGTGGGAAGGCAAAATGGCACAATTGCTATGGAGGGGAATTCATTAATATCTAACAAAATTACATATGTATTCACCTTTGATTCAACAATCCCACATCTAGGAATCCATCCTAAAGATACATCTCCTTAAACATGAAAAAACAGTATACAAAGTTGTTTATTACAGCATCCCAAATGTCTACCAAGTGAGTGTATGAATAAGCTGTACTACAACCACATTTGACTACTATGTAGCTTTAAAAAAAATCGCAACCTCTCTGAACTAAGAAAAATATTTCCTAGAAATCACTTCTTAAGTGAAAATAGTAAAATACAATACAGTATATATAAAATACTTCTATGTAACAGAAAAGATTACAAGAATACACATAAAATATTAATCTGTTTCTAGGAAAGAAACACAGGGGAAAAAATCCAAAACCTAATAAAAATGGTTACCTATAGGAAGTAGCTATGAACAGAGTATAGGGAGAGGATGGAATCAAGACTTTAAAGTATACTTCTTTAAAAACATAGTTTTAACTTTTGAACCATATAATATCAAATGGATAACACAAAGAATTACTTCAAATAACTTTAAAACTTCCATACTCTGGGATATATTTTAAAACAAAAACCACAAATAAACCTTAAATTTTACTCAATCTGCTTATTGCAGTAATATTGATTGTAATTTTGTGACTATTTTGTATACATATATATATCTTAGGATAAGGCAAACAGTAAATATATTAATATAATTGTAGCCAAGATTTTCCCTGTAAATGATAAGAGATAAAATAATACATAAAATAAGCAAGGAAAAAGCTCTACACTGCTAAATTTGGACTGGAAATATCTACATGAACTCATGATCTCTAATACACTTTTTACTTACATTTACTGAAGCCTGGTAGATGTACACACACACAGACACATATATTGCCTAGTTCTGTCCACTGAAAGAGTCCAGGAGTAACACTCCAGCAGTGGTGTATGCTTTCCAAAGTCTAAAACTGCTAAAAGAAGCCAAGGGTTTTAGAGAAATAAGTGATTCCAAACCTTGGAACAAGGGAGGTAAAAGGTGAGCCTGTGACCGGTGCTGGATGGTACAGTGCTCTAAAGGGGTCCTATCAGAAGGACAGCAGCTGGCCTGAAGGGACTTCTCCCAGGCCAAGTGTGAAAAAAATGTCAAGATCAAAATAGCTAGTGACTATTATTGAGTCTAACAAATTGAATTAGAAAAAAATTAATCCATGAGTCCACAGTGATACTACAGAGTAGTAGGATGAAGGGAAAAGAGAAGGAAAAGAAAATCCTTTTTAAAGTGAAATGCCAGCTAATATACATGTTTTAGTGAAATAAAAGAATTAGAAAAATCACTGCTTCACAATCCCCATTGTAAAGGCCATCAGCCTATGTTAAAAACCAAAGGAGGGCTGGCCAGTTAGCTCATTGGTTAGAGTGTGGTGTTGGTAACTCCAAGGTCAAGGGTTCAGATCCCTGTACTGGCCAGCCACCAAAAAAAACCAAACGAACAAAAGAACCAAAGGATGTAGGATTTGGGGGGAAAAGGTTACCCACAAAGTGCCTAAGTAGTACTTCACAGATCACTGAGCAGTTACAAGGGCAAATAAATATAACTTTGAAAATGAAGAAATCTCGGGCAACTTCTACCTATGCAGGTGGGACACCCTGACCACAGTGTGCCTCCCCGGGTGGTGCAACATGAAGGACACAATACCAGTGAATGTTTTATCTCAGTCTAAACAATTCAAACATTTCCAGTTTATGTGAAATAAAGTGATGGAGGAATTAGTTAAATAAAGCCATGGGGAAACAGACAAATATTAAAAGCAGGACATT